TAGACGTTGAAGAACCCCGCCTCATGCTTCTTTCAGTTTTCATGTACTGCTTGCCATCTTTTCCTATTCAAATGCGTCTTCGATTTCTGGCGCTACACAATTTTCTCCTGTATCTTTTAAATTAATCACTGACTTTTAATAATTCCTTTTCAACTGATTTTAAGTTGAATACTAGAACTTAGTCAAAAATGTTCTGTCAAAAATTACAGACTTTATCCGAAAAAAATTACGGTACAGATTTGTAAAAATGAATTCTGTAATAATGAGTATAAATATTTTAAATAAATGAGTGTAGTGTTTATCGACAATGAAGAGGGAAAAGAATTGTGGCCGGTCCGGGATTAATGAAACAGTTACTGACAAAATAACTGTCTTTATTTTTATATCTGATGATTTATGATAGAAATTCATTATAAATTACTTTCTGTAGAGAGTGAAAATCAGGGAGAAAACTATTAAGACAAACATTTTATAATTCAGCATGTTGCTTCGTTCACATGTCCGTTACACCCGGCTATTGCCGCAGATAAATAATGATCCATTAGGTTTTTATTGCATGCAAAGCCTGGAGTAACAAAATTAGAGACGCTGAAAGAAAGAAAGAAAGAAAGAAAGAAAGAAAGAAGAGAAGTTAGCAACGGGAGCGAGAACGCATCAGGCGTTTAGTCTCTGTATTAATTTTAAGAAAGAAAGAAATAAACAAACAAACAAGCAAACAAACAAATAATAGCTGAAGTAAGAAAATGGTCAGGTGTTTAGCGTTTGTTTTACTGTAATTAAGGAAAAAAACAAAGAAATAAAACAAACAAGAAAAAGAAACAAAGCGAGCAAGCAAGCAAGCAAGCAAGAAAGAAAGAAAGAAAGAAAGAAAGAAAGAAAGAAAGAAGATAGCAACGGGCGCTAGAACGTATCAGGCGTTTAGCCTCTGTTTTATTGTAAGAAAGAAAGAAAGAAAGAAAGAAAGAAAAAGAAAGACAGAAAAAGAAATTAGCACAAGGAAGAATGCTATCAGGCATTTGGCGTGTTTTGCTTTAACAAAAAGGAACAGAACATAGAGAAAAGAAAGAAAGAAAGAAAGAAAGAAGTGGCATCAATAAGAAAGAAAGAAAGAAAAGGATATAAACAAAAACAAAAAGAAATAGACAGAAAAAATAAATTGTTTCCGTTAAATTGTAAAATTATCATATATGATTTTCGTGTTTTATAAGTTTTCGAATGTCTAGTTGTCGGCAAAAGAGACTACCCAATATGCAGATTACAAATTGGAGATGCCAAAATCAAGCACGGAGAAAATTTAAATATCTAGGAACTGTTTTAACAAACAACAGAAAATTCGATACGAAAACCCGAAGGCGCATTGGGATAACGAAAGATGCCTTCCAGAATTTAAGAAAAGTATCAGGAAACTGGAAAATCTCGTTTTCGAAACAAAGAAAAGAGTACTTAGCTGTTATGTAATATTGGTCTTTCTATATGGCAGTGATATAAAGATTTTATTTTTATTATTTATAAAAAAAAATAAATATATAGTATAGTCGTTTATGGATTTTTTTTATTACATAAACGTTTTTGATAAAAGGTTTATGTTTCTGAAGGCCAGACGGTTTGTGTGTTAAATTCTGTGTATTTTTATGGCCTTTTAGGCTCAAGCGGGGAACTGCCAAAGTTGTTTGAAACGTTTAGGATTTATTCTTTCGAATACTTGGAGATGTTGTTCTTTTTTTATACGAGAAACAACTTTGCTGGCCTTTATGAACAATTTGCTGGAGCCTATATGACAGCCTGGTTTTGAATAAAAATGGCTGCTATCATCGAGAAGATGAAGAGAAGAACAGACAGGAGAAAAGGATGGGCTGTTGATGAGAACGGTCAGAGCACAAGACTGGCATTCCAAAAGACGGTCCAGATACAAGGCAGATTCTTACACAAGAAAATTCCATATTGTGACGTGGATATCATAGACTACACAAAAGCTTATATATAGCGGCAACACAAAGAGGAAAAATAGATTGCGTGATGCTCGCTTAAGGCGTGAAATTGCCAGTCGGCATTCAGTGTTGATTTCTATGTCCACACTGTTTTTACATGCGAGATGACACAAATATTCTCGGAAGAACCCGCATGCTAAAATCTGACGAAATTTGAAATGATTGATGAAAGGTTAATTGCACTGTAAGTGGATACAGCGTGGCGAGTTCAAACTCTAATTAAGGCATTTCTGTGTTTTTTCCGCACTAACCGTCATGGAAAAGGTATAACTCCATCTCTTCACCCTTGCTACATCTCTAATTAAATAACAACGCAGATATTATCTCTAATCTTTCTTGGCAACTAGACTAAAAGAAGAATTTTGAATTCAAAACCAGGAGTTGAATCCATTCTCCTATGGCTAAAATAGCAGTATATATATTCGATGTATGAGGGTAAGCAGATCAGTTCCTAGGAACCAACAGCCCAGACACCAGCACATATGATTTGATTATAGAAGTGAAGGCTTTGTGCAGAACCAACTACACTTTTTGAAGGGCCGAATAAAGAGACCTGCGGCACTACGTCCCACAAGGCCCCCAAACGACCCTCCGCAGGTTTTAAATTCAGAGTTGTCCTTCTCCTTGACTAGTTGCCATCCAAGGCTATAGAACCCAGTCTGTCCTATATATATATATTGTCCTCATCTTTGTTGCCATATTTATCACAACGTTTCGGCCGTTGTACGCTCCGGCCTTCTTTAGGTGGTTGGAATGTCGAACTGAACCTCACTGGGGTAGACTGTTCTAGTTCCACGTGCGATGTTTAATGGATGTCAGTTATCAGTTATCTCCTGTTAATTTTCCCACTGAAAGTTCTCCACTGCCTTAACCAGGTATTGAACTCACACTCTTTGGGTCCTGTCACTGGATCTAACCAACGCCTTTATCCAACGGGAATCGGATATAATATATCCACTGTGCCATGTGTCCTTGAGGACATCTGGGTATGAATTTTTGGGTATTATAAACCTAATGTCTTCAGCAACCATTTTTACCAGAGTTCATATTGCAACTATGTTGTTATCATTGCTTTTCTCTGGCACTCCTTATTACTGGTTCCCATATTGTATTTATTTCTATGCTTGGTCGGCTCAGGGGATTTTTGTGGCCTAGCATATGTGCTGATTTCTTAAGTTTACGAATTTTTCAATGGTGTTCTCTGTCTATGATCTGACATTATCCCACAATAGTCCGAATAATGTAAATAATGTACATAATACCTCATCTCAGAAATATAGACACACACACATATACATATATATATATATATATATATATATAGATAGATAGATAGATAGATATAGATATTTTATGTGATAATTTTGCTCTTTCAAAGTCACCTTAGGTTTCATCAGGCTCGATCCATTGAAAGAAACCAGCAATCAATCCTAGTGACTTATTGTATACTCTGCCATAAAGTATGCAAGTCAGCTTCTGGATTAACAAGACACATGAAAATTCACTTTGATGTCGAACCTGTTGGGCTTAAGGATCTTCCTTTCAGGTGCAACATTTGCGCAAAAGCTTGTAAAAGTAAGGCTGTTTTAAAAAATCATCTGCGCTTACATGATCTGTGAGTCTGAAAGTTATATGAAAAATAAAAGAATTTTGTTGGGATAATGATTTTCTGTCAAGAAATGACAATTACTGTATATATATATATATATATATATATATATATATATATATATATATATATATATATATATATATATAGTTTGTAATCCGTTGGTATATTCCATTATTAACACAACATAGAATTTGAAATATATTAAAACTCACTCACAAAAGTATATATATATATATACAGAGATAGATAGATAGATAGATAGATAGATAGATAGTAATTCGTTGGTATAATCCAAGCGAGTCCTATTAGCACAAAGTAGAATTTGAAATATGTTAAAACTGGCTCAAAAAAAAACGCTCCATTTTTATTCACAATAAACAGAGCAAATTTACTTTACAATTGGAATTACGATACATTTAGTTAATGACCATTTTCACCTACGAATTTTAAAATTCGTAGGATAAGACTTTCTAATACTTAATATAGGATACATAATTTAATCCAAGATTTTAATTGGTAGAAACTAAAGGGTCACTTAAAGCTAGCGCAAGTGTGTATGTAATTAAATGAATATATCTGGGTTGCGGCAGTCAGCTCTTCGAATATGTATTATTGACGTGGACAGATGCATCCGTTTTCGTTAATTTCCGTGAATTCCTGGCGAATTAAACTTTGATCGTCTGACCATTAGGATATAGGTTAGCCCATCGCTCTCCCAATCACCCCTCCCCCAACCCAGGCTCTCCAACCTCCATAATATGATTCGACTAAAGATGCCTTCTTCTTCCCCACCACACCCCCAATAGATGTCCAATTACACACATTCTTTCTTTCTCAAAATAAACAGTACACTACAAGCCGATAGCAGAAACAGTTTGAAAAATCCTGCTAATTTTAAAATTGAAATTCGTAGGTGAAAATAGTCATTTACTAAAGGTATCGTAATTCCAATCCTAAAGTATATATATATATATATATATATATATATATATATACCGATGCGAAAGTAATATATAAATTCCAACGTTCACAGTATTAATCCAAAAAAAAAGGCTCGATACCGATAGCGATAGTTATTTATTTATCATAAATTCATCATATAGACAAAACCATTTTACTCACTACAAAGATGCAACTTCGTTTCAGTGCATTTCAACTGCACTTCGACAAGTGAGAATCAAAAATGATTACCTCATTTTCGATTCTCACCTGTCGAATTGCAGTTGGAATGCAATGAAACGAAGTTGCATCTTTGTAGCGAGTAAAATGGTTTTGTCTATATGATAAAATTATATATATATATATATATATATATATATATATATATATATATATAGTGTGTGTGTGTGTGTGTGTGGCTTGCAATCCAACCCCGTAAACACCTACTAGCCAGGCTTTGGCTACATCACGTTTAAACACCGGTTGTCGTGCGATCACAGAAGTTAAGCAACGTTTAGCGTGCTCAGTAACTAGATGGGTTACCGCTTGGGAATGTCAAATGCTGTAAGCTTCGATGTGCGGGTGGTGTAATGGATAATGACTCGGAATTTTTAATCGGAGAGCCGAGTTCCGATTCCCGTTGGGCTCGTTATATTCACTTACGCGCAAATAAAGGGAAAGGTATGAATCCATCTCTTCTCCCCAACTACGGGTTAATTAGTAAGACTTGTATCACTAAATCATTATTATCTAAAAAAAAAAAAAGAAAGGCATGATATCTAAAAAAATACTTGCTTTAAATAACCTGCAAGGGGCTGATAAGCCGTAAAAAATCAGTCAATCAATGAAATACTGATTAGCTGAACAGGCATGTCTTTTAGGATTATTTACATTCTCTTGACTATAAATGTCTAGAAACTACTGTGACCAGAAAGTTAGGGATCATTTTATATAATGATTGTATTATAGAATTGATCCCTCACATTATAATTCCTTGTTTGTTTATCAAATTCTGATTAGGTATAAATCCACCTCTTCTCCCCAGCTACGGGTTAATTAGTAAAACTTTTGTCACTAAAACCATTATTATCAGAAAAAAAAGTACAGTATTTACATTAGTCGGACTATTGTCCTCATCTTTGTCGCCATATTTGTCACAACGTTTCGGCCGTTGTACGCTCCGGCCTTCTTCAGGTGGTTGGAATTTCGAACCGAACCCTTTATTTCGATCGCTGGGGTAGACTGTTCTAATTCCACGTGCCATGTTTGATGGATGTCAGTTATATGCTAATTTTCCCTCTGAAAGTTCTCCACTGCCTTAACCAGGAATTGAACTCACCTTCTTTGGGTCTGTCACTGGTTTTAACCAACGGCTTTATCCACTGTGCCATGTGTCCTTGAGGACATCTGGGTATGAACTTCTGAGTATTATAAACCTAATGTTTTGTTTTTTACAAGTAGTTCTTACAATCCAAAAATATTGTCTGCCTTTAAATAACCTGCAAAGGGTTCATAAGCCTTAGAAAACGAATCAATCAGTCAATCTGCTAGCAAAAATATTACGGCACGTAACCTGAAGGAGTTGTCCAGGATCCTATGGTGGGAGAAAGTGCAAAGTTATGTTGTTTAAAACATTTCCCAAGAACATTATATTTCAAATTAAACGTAAGCGGGCCCAGCCGAAATTCAAACACACCAGTGTCTGTTTATTGATATTTAATTTTGTCTGTGAGTTGCTGAAACTACGAACGGCATCTTCTGAGATTGTCTGGAAACGAAAGAAAATGACACCGAAGGGAACAAGTTTTCGTCGTATTCGTTACCCCCACCCCTATTTTTCACGAAGATACAATTAGAGAATGGGGCCGACAAATTGCCTTCTTCAATGTTCGTATTACGTTCTCTTGCGGCCAGGTACAAAGGTCAATCTCACATAATGGCGAGGAAACCGCTTTTCTACAGACAATTCCGTCAATTGTTCGATTCTGTCTCGCTAGTAGAATTCTTCATAGATTAACTGCATCGATTATTGGTAAAAAAAAAAAAATTGTATTTATATTCCTGCGTCTGTCTATACGCTTGGATTTGTCCAATGTCGGAGAATCGGCCTCATTTTCAGAAAGCTTTTCCTCTTTAGATCATTCGACGATTTTATTAATTCTACGAAAATAAATGTTGTTCATGAGGTCAAGAGTAGAAGGTTGAAACAAAAAATGCAGTCATATAGCAATGGTAATTGTAATAAAAATTGTTTCACGACAGGAAACATGCGATAGTCATTGACCGAGCAGACAGCATTGTTTTCGGTTGAAATATAACCTATCGATGGTTGAGGTGGGAGAAAGCTCATGCCTTTACCAAGAGCATTTTTGTGTGAAAGTGAATGCGGGATAATAAACTTGAATTTTGAACATGGTATTCCACCTCCTTTTTAGAAAACTTTGTTTAAATATTAATTCTTTGATTATTTTTTTCCTGGCTCATACAATTATGGGCGTAATTTTTATTCCTGGCTCACAGACGTGGAATGTTCGTCTTCAACGGGAAGTGCATGTTGGCACTTGAACTAAGTTGAAACTTTATATTTCAGTTTCAACTGTGGGTTTCATGCACGTTGTTCATGGACTTCTTGTTTGTTACTTATTTGTTGTTTTTTTTTGTGTGTGTAATAGAAGATAGGACAATACTACGCTCCCTTCACTTGAATAAGGTTATCATCCCCCGTTTCCTGTTTAGAAAGGGGTTCTCAGATCCTTTCCTTTTCTCCAGCCTCTGTAGTGTTTCTGTCATGAACCCCTTGCGTTGTGTGCGGTTTGTGGTAACATCTCTTCACACTGAGGGTACTGTTGTTCCCAACAAGTAGTTAGGATCCCTAACTCTTGCTTAGCGTCTTGACGGGGGCTGCCGATCGGTGTTCTTGCAGTGCTATGTCAAGTATGGAAGGGTGTGACTACACCCACCTCCGGTGGGCAACCCTGAGACTACATTATGTTGCAGTCTGTGCCAGTTCCTTTCTTCTCATGTCACATTTGATGACCGTCTGCTACTATTACATTAGGGCTTTTCCTTAACAACATAACTCAATATGACTGTAAACAATCAAAAATATAAACATCAACCAGCTCCAAAAAATCACATAGACCATTTAACATTTCTTTTTCCAACATCCGTGGTATTTGTATCAACTTCTGCAGTGTGGAATCGTTCCTCTTCGAAAAGACTCCTAGCTCTCTTCGAGACTAACCTCAACTCGTCAATCCCCTCCTCTGATTTCTCGATTCCTGGCCACCTTCCTCTCCTTAGAAATGACTCTAAAATCCACATGCATGGCCTTGGAGTTTATGTCTGCGATCATGTCCCACTGCCTAGGGAACTATCTATTGAATTTCCAGACTATTCGTATATGAGTCTTCGTCTATCTCTCCTCAATTCAGTAAGCTATGTCTTCTTTCTCTATCGTTCCTCTTCTTCTCAAGAATGTGGTGTAATCGATAGTATTTCCTATAATATAGACAAGGTCATCTCTACATCCGTTTGCGCATATTCGTGTTCGGTGACTTTAACGTCCACCATACCATGTGGCTTAATGACTCTGTAGGTGACCTCGCTGGCATCCAAACTCTGAGCATTTCAATCTCTCAATCCTTCACGCAAGTAGTTGACTTTTCCTACACGTTTCCCTTCAGTAACCCTGACGATAACACTTCCCTTCTCGATCTCTGTTTTACCTCCCTCCCTGACTCTTGTCGAGCTACGCAGCCCTGCCCTCTTGGCAACTCTGATCACACCGTAGTATCTATTAACATTTCTTTCAATCCCCCTCCAGCCAAGAACCCTTACTGGCAGAATATCTTTCTGTTATCAACTCACGGACTGGGACTCGTTCAGTGATTTCCTTCACGACGTCCCTTGAAATGTTCAAAATGTACGTCTGAGGTTTCCTCCTGTGTAAAAGCTGGTATCGACGCTTTCATCTAAGCAAGTTAAATCGCGCTCATCTCCTTGGTTCTCCGCTGCTTGCTCAGCTGCCATAGCCCATAGGAATCACTTGTTTCGTCTCTACCGAAGCGACATGATTACAACAGGCGTCTCTTTGTTTCTGATCGTAATGAATGCAAACGTGTCCTCAATGAAGCAAAGTTATTATTTGCTGATAAAATAAAACAACGTATTGCATTACGCAGATTTGCTTCTAAAGAATAACGGCGGCTCTGCAAGAGTGTGTTGAACAACAGCAAATCTACAATCCCTCCTCTATTCAATCAATTCGAAATTCAAACTTCCGCAGCTGATAATCCAGCAGGCTTTGCTAGGAAATTCTCATCCAACTCAACACTCGACTTATCTGGTGTACCCACACCTGATTTCCCCCCTAGAACTGAAGCCCTGTTGAGTGAGATGAGCATAACACCGTCGATGGTATTGGACATCATATCTAAATTAGACTCCCAAGTAAGTGATGGTGTTGGGATACCAGCCTTAGTTCTAAAGAAATGTGCTCTTGATCTGGCTCGAGTTCTCCCCAATCTATATAGCTACTGCCTCGCTGACTCTTGCTGTTGTCCCTGCTTTTAAAAACTCTGGAGACCCTTCTGACATCTAACTACCGTCCTGTCAGTCTCCTACCACTCTTTGGTAAAGTCTTTGAGGCTTTGCCCGGTCTACCGCTGACGTGCTTACGACTATAACAAGTTCTTGATAATAACGGCGAAGCTTGAGCTGTGGCTCTAGATATCTCTAAGTCATTTGATAGGGTTTGGCCTGCCAGCTTTGTTCGTAAGCTTTAGTGATACAATATTACAGGACGATTATTTGATTTAATTTTATCCTACACTGTTTCTGATCTTCATCAATGACCTTCCCGATGTTATCGGTTCTCAAGTAGGCATCTACGCAGACGACACTACCATTTACTCCTGTCTCAAATCCGACATTGCTGACAAAGTTAACCAAGCAGTTGGTCTCGAAAAGGAACTCCAATCGGTGATTGACTGGGGCAGGAAATGGCTTGTGAATTTTAATGCGTCAAAAACGAAACTGCTCTCATTTACCCACCATAGAGAAATCACCCTGCCTCCTGTCGGCATGGTTGATGCTCAACTTTATGACAGCGTCTCTTTGTGCCTACTTGGTCACATGTTTTCCACTGTCCTGAGGTGACACAACTACACTGAATCAATAGCTTTATCTACCGTAAGTTGATTCTCTGTGTCGCGCCAGAAGATTTTTCTCGTCTGAGTCCATCCTTCACATCTAAAAATCTACCATTTGCCCGTGCATTGAATTCTGTTGCCATATATGGTCCGGTGCCCCCGCTGTTCATCTTGAGGTTCTCGACAAAATCCAAAGACGGATATACAATGTGATAAGCTCTGACCTGGCATCACGACTGCAGTTACTTTCTCACAGACGTTATGTGGCTTCTCTCTGTCTTTTCTATAAATATTTTCATGGCAAATATTCTGACGAGCTACTTTCGCTTGTGCCCCAACTGCATGAATTTAAGCGTTCTATTAGGTTGGGATACGTTCCACCCTTTCATTGTCAAAACAATTAAATGTAACCGCCTCTTCTACTCCAACAGCTTATTCTCTCGCACTTCCCGACAGTGGAACTCCCTTCCTCTTACTTCCTTCCCTGCTTACCTGGTAGCTATAATCTTCAAATATTCAAATGTAATGCCAATCGACATCGTCTGATGCTTTGATCTTGATCCGCGTCCTTCTCTTTATCCTTTCCTCAAAATCCCCTCTTTGCTCTTGCTGTCACTCTCTGTAACCCCTTGCGTGCTAGTGGCACTCCCACCTTGCTTGGGATGAAATGCTTAAAAAAAATACAGATTTTACTTTTTGCACCTATACTGATAATAGCATGGATCGTAATTTTTTTGTATCAAAAATGTATTGCTGCTAATTTCTTTTCCCAAAATATATTGCAAGTATTTTTTTCTTTTTCAAAAATGTATTACTGGTAATAATTTTGCTTCAGAAAGTTATTGCTGGTAATAATCTTTTGCAAAAATATATTGCTGGTATTAAGACTTATTTTTACACTTTCATAGTGTTTTGACACGAGTTTGGGGGGTCAACTATTTACCCATAGCTAGGACCCTAACAAGTGCTACCACCCCGGGTCAGGGAGGACCTGGGAAGACCAGCAATTAAGATGTAGTTCCACGTTCCTCAAAACCACCTGATCAAAGGCCTTGCTGCCAGATGTAGTTTATCGTCATACCCAGGACGCGATTGTAGTTGTATGTATGCATTACGTGCATTAAAAATTAATATTTTATAAAACCTAGAAATATTATCTTTTTATCATTTCTATTATAATTCTGACTGTCCCTCCCTTAGTTAGTACGACCGTTACGCCCTGTCAATACATCATGAAAAATAAACGATTCTGTTTTGACCTTGTGTAAACGTGTAACTAGCATATCAGAGACGCTACTTGGTTTCAATGAGAAAATGAAAGAAAACGAAAGAATAGAGGGAAGACGAAAGTTTTTTAACGCTTGTTTCAGTAAAATAGAAGGAGTTGTCAATTTCAAATCTTTTTTTATTTGGACACCTTTACTTATAAATATTAATAAAAATGTTTGCAAGACAGGTTTTTGGCTAGCAAATTTAAATGTTACTGTGTGATAAAAATGTCTGTAGGATTTATGCCATAATGTTATACTGGAACACACCTATTCTATAATTAATAGACTCTCCCACCTATAATAAGTAGTAGTAGTAGCAGTCGCTCAATGATTTGGTGACTCAGTCGATGTCGGACATTAAAGTATCAGCCACCACAACTAGATTGCTGCGTCATTAACTTTTATATCAAGTTCCTAACGTTTTGTACGTCGAACCTTTTTAGGACCGACTTAATGAAATACAAGCCTCCACTGTGAAACTACTCTACAACACATAATAATGGTGATATTAACTGTTTCCTTATAAAGCAACATTAAGCATTTATTGACTGAACAGCCAGCACATTTGTCGATTGAAATTTATAAAATCTTTTTCTTAAAACAACAGGTAAATAGATTTCTCAAGTCCAGCAAATATTCCAGTATTTATGGAGGTGTCCTGACTAACCTTTTTCTTGAAGTAATGTGCAAATTTAAATATAACTTTGTCATAAAATTTGTAGGATTTATGTTATAGTAATGGGGATATTAACTGTTTCATTATAAGGAAACATTTGGCATTTATTTGGCATTCATTTAGCATTCATTTGGCATTCATTGACCGAGCAGCCAGTACTACGGTCGGTTGAAATTTATAAAGTGTTTCTCTTAAAATAATTTATTCAAGAAAACAAGTTTCTCAAATCTAGTCGTTGTTATCGATATTTCCAGTATTGATGAGGAGTTTCCTTCCTAACCTTTTGCTTGAAGTAATGTCGAATGTCTAGATCTTGATTGCGTCCTTATTTTCTCTTCGGATTACATGAGCTATCCATTTTAGTTGTTGCTGCTGTTGAAAGTCATCAAGTGATGTGGTTTCTGTTATTTGGTAAAGCTCTTTGTGATGATAACCCCTCTTCCCAGAAATTCAGGTAGAAAAAAATATTGTTAGATTGTCAATCAACATCAGCAATTTAAAGATTGGAGCAGATTGACTCAACATTTAACCTTATCAACTTAAAATTGTCATAGGGCTTAGAACATTATCTCAAAACAAAATATTATTGTAAAATAAAAGAATATTGTTATTTATATTACAACAAGCAGATCGTTGTTTAGTTCATGGGTAAATAATGGTGATGATAATATTCGCCATTTCCTAATAAGGAAACATTCAGAATTGACTGAACAGCCAGTGCTACTCAAGTTACGTTTTCCTTCACTCCCTAGCCATGGACCTAGAATCAAAGTGTAGCATCTGTTCTCTTCATATCTAATAGCAATATTAGTGGTTTCCTTTGAGCAGCCAGTTTACTGTCCGTTAAAATTTATAAAATCGTTCTCTTAAATAACCAGATTTCTCAAGTCCAGTATCGCTTTTTCCAGTACTGATAAGGAGTTTCCTTCCTAGCCTTTTGCTTAAAGTAGTGTGGAATGTCAACATCTTGATGATGTCAGTATTTTCTCTTGGAGTTACATTACTGATTGCTTATACCTGCATCAAGTTTAAACACCGGTTTCCGTACGATCGTTGAAGTTAAGCAACGTCGAGCCTGGTCCGTACCTAGATGGGTGAGCGCTTAGGAATACCGGGTGCTGTAAGCTTAGATGTTCGGGTAGTGTAATGGACAATGGCTCGGAATTGTTAATCGGAGATCTGAGTTCTAATTCTCGTTAGGTTCGTTATATTCACTTACGTGTAAATGCCCTTAGGAAAAGGCATGAACCCAACTCTTCTTCCCCAGCTAGGGATTAATTAATAAGACATATCACTAAATATTTACCATCTCCTAAAGAAATTATTACAATCTAAAAATATTTTCTGGCTTTAAATAACCTGCAAAGAGGTCGATAAGCCATAAAATACGAATCAATCACTTAATAGATTATTGATTGCACAAAATATTCCCTGTCTTTAACTATTTTGTAGAGGTAGACATAAGTAAACAGGAGGTGGAAACTAAGTACTGCCGATAACCCTTTTATTTTGGAACCCATGCATGTGTTGGTCTGATGTGGATGTGCGGAGGTGTAAAGGATAGCAGTTTGAAAGGAGTTCGAATTCCAGTCGGGTTTGTTTCATTAACTTACGTGAAAATGCCATTGGGAATGTATGTATCTATAGTCTCCTCCACAACTATGGAAGTTTAATATCATGCAAAACGATATTTCCGTCGTCCATTACAAAGGTACCATATAATTAAAAGGTAACATATAATTAAAAGGTACTATATAATCAAAAGGTACCATATAATTAAAAGGTAACATTTAATTAAAAGGTACTATATAATTAAACCTTGGTTTAATCCCTCTTCGTGATAGCCAAATATTGTATCTTTTGACACTTAATAGTTAGTCCTTTATTCTTGCTTTTCTTAGCTACCTTGTTTAAATACTCCACTGTTAATATTTAATTACCCACGAGAGTACAAGGCCGGGATTACCGTGGGTTCTCCGAGCCAAAATTACCGTGGGTTCTCCGGCCAAAAACATTCCCTTAGAACCCGCATAAACGGGTTCAGAGTCTGTCTACCCTTCGGCAAAGCCTCGTCCGGGTTCCTCTCTGCTCGAGGCAGACAGTTCCACAGTTGAACAGCCTATGGCACCCTTCCCCTAAAATACTCCATTATTCTTCCAAAGACAAATATCACAAATATATATACTTATTAAAAAAAAAAACAGTAGTCATTGAGTCCCTTTCAATCTCATCACAGTCCAAATGCTGAGAGTGACGCATTGGTTGTCATAGCAACTGGGTAGATTGCCTTCTACAACAATGACGTCATAATCCTGCAATCAAATCGCATTTTGCAATAATCCACGGCTCGCGAAAATTCTCTTTTCCTCTTTCTTGTCACTCTCATTCATTGTCACCTTATTCTTCTTCTAAACCTTCTCTCTCATCTCTCTTTTTCAACCACTTTTTCTCCCCTCTCATTATAACACTCTCTTTGTCTCTCTTTTTCAGTACCTTCCTCTTTCTCACGCATTCTTTATGCCTATCTCTTCATCGTCCTCTTCCTCTTGCTTCCAACTTTTAAATTTTCGCTCTCTTTATCTCCCAATCGCTCTTTTTCTCTCTCCAACTCTAACTCTTTATCTCTTTCTTTTCATCACTCTCTTTTTCTCATTCTCTATATCTGTTTATCTTTTCCTTTCTCTCTCTCTCTCACTCTTTTTCACTTTATCTCTCGATTTTTTCTACCTTTCTCTCTTTAATTTTAACAACACTGTTATTCTCCTCTTTCTTTCTATTCTTCTCTTTCTCTTTCTTTCCCCTTTTCATTCTCGTACTTTATTTCTCTCTCCTTCCCTCTCTTGTCCCCCTTTATCTTTACGTTTATCTCTCGCTTTCTCTATCTCACATGACCACTATCATTTTACATCAACTCTCTTTCTATAGATTAATCATCATCTAACTGAAAATAGCCCTATTTATTTATTTTTCATGGAAAGACGTCGGTACACATCCCAAGAGAAATGATTTGTCTTCGCGCCATTTCTTTTAAATGAGCGTCATTTTTCCTCAGCGTCATGCGTTTGTAGAAAAATTTACAAACATGGCCGCTGTTGCCATAAATTTCCATACACTTGATAAATGAATTCCTATAAACACACAACATTTTCCGTTCGATTTCCTAATGTCTCTCTCTTAACAATTGTAATCATGCGCAGCAAACAATTTTCTATGTGGACGGCAATGAAGGATCCAAGTTAAAACGATTTCTGTTCCACACTTGCCGTCTTTATTTCACGCTCGCATATGCACATACCAAGAGAGATATATCAAAAGTATTTTCATTTCTAATCAATGGGGAACCTATCGAGAGAGCCTGCGTGCTTTTGGAAGCGTATCAAATATCCTACACTTATGTCTTTCAAATATCTTAGCTTTTCCGAATCGCTGGTCGTCGGCCTCTCATCGACATTACGCTTTAAAGCCAACCAATGGCCGCCTACTTCTTAGGGTTTACTTCAAGGGACATGCCACCATTTTTAAAATAGTTCGGAGTAGCGAAGTTAGATACGGTTTTATTTTCCTTCCACTTCCCAAATTCTGCATGCAGCTTCAACGGCTTTGATTTTCATCTTAAAATCTGCGTTCTTTACTGTCACCCGCTCAGGCCTTTACAGCCAAGACTCACCTTTGCTACGTCCAGAAAGTTGAATTATCCTCATCGCTTACATATTCCTTTAAAACATTGTTTAATTTCTTTCGACTTTGAAAATCATGTAACCAGATTCAGCGGTTTTGTACCCTAGTTTAAATCAATGACTCACGTTTAGTTGGTTAGATAATTTAAACTATTAATGCCAACCGTAAAATTAGGTATTAATTGATAAAATTATAGTTAAAATCCTGTATTAAATATCAATCAGTTATTTATGTATCATGCGTAATACACGCTTAGGCGATCATGTATCTTTCGATACATGACTGACGCGACAGATTTTTTTTTTCCCGTGATAGATTGTCATTTATTTCTGCGGCAAACCAGTTGCTATCCAATGCTATAGAATCCGGTCTCTCCTGTTATTTATCCATAGCTGGGAGGAAAAAACGAGGATTCATACCTTTCCCAAGGGTATTAGTACTTTTGTGAATGTAATGGATTCGACTAGAATTCGAACTCGCCTCTCTGATTCCTCATATTTAATTATAGTTTTTGTTTGAATTTCTGGGGCGGGAATATAAGAAATGAAGAAATAAACTGACAAAGAAGCTTCCAGAAAAATTGAATAAACTTTGGCGCAATTCTTAATATATAAAAAAACGCCTACGTAAGTTTTCTTAAACAAATAAAACACTCGACCACATTCTTTTGACCAATGGGATGTACAAAAAAATACATGGTCACTCAGTAAGAAATTTGTGGAGCTAAAACGCATGTGCGTGAGCCCATCAGAACAATATAAAAACGGCAATATTTTTCAACTCCATTAGAAGAATTCACTTGCTTGGCATGATAAATATAATTATTTACCCACGCAGCAAGATGTGGCACAAGGCCGAGTTTAAAGTGGGGGTATCCGAGCCCGTAGGCTAGGGCAAAAATTCCCTATAGACCACGTAAAAACGGAGTCAGTTTCCCGAGACTAGACTCTACCCTTCGGCAGAGCCTCGTCTGGAGGATACCCTCTGATGAATATAATTGTGTCTCAATGCAGCCCGCTCTTTTGACCGCTGGACGAAGTGGATCAAATTGCGATTCTTAATGCTTTTAACGCCTCACAGAGACTTACAGAAAAACAAAACACGAACGACTCAGTTTTTGTTTTCAGATTTTTCCACAAGAAAGGGGAAATAAAAAACAGAAGTAATCATTATTTACAGTAGTTGGACGATTGTCCTTATCTTTGTTGTTCTTATCACAACGTTTCGACGTTTGTGTCCTCCAGCCTTCATTAATAACCAACAGTGAATTCTGAATTGAATCCTTTATTTTATTTACGAGTATAGACTTTTCTCGTTCCACTGAACATGTTTAAGTATATCTCGTCCAGTTATTTTTTTTTAGTGCTGCTCAGTTATTTCTCGCCCGTACACTGAATTTAGATGTACACTGCCCACTCCAAGGATTGAACTCATGATGTCTATGTCATCAAATTCACCAACCAACGCTTTAATCCGCTTGGCTATTGTTTTGCAGGACAATTCGCTGTTATGAAATTGGTTCCTTAAACATAACTTACTTGCTGATTAGGTTGCAACTGTAGTTGATGCCTGTCACGTTTGACTGCTGCTGCTGTTGAAGATTTGCTGTCATTTTTCTTCTTTAGCGGCTGTATTTATTTATATGGTCGTCCTACTAAGGCGGTCCTCATAGAATAACGTTTGCGCTAAAGTTATAGTCCTAATGCAAATCGTGTAAATAATGTTATAGGTTTATAAAAATCTGTTATTAATTATAAATTTTAAATTTCTACCTATGACCCATTAATGTCCATCCTCCACAAATACTGGATTGTGGGTGTTAGTGTGTTAACGGCTGGTCAAATCATCTCATATCAATTTTGAAGTTAGTTATTTTTTTATTTTCTATTTTGTTATATATTTTAATCTAGAACTAAATATATAGTTGTACAGAAGACAGAAATGAATTAATAGTTTTGATGTCAGATTTTCTTCATTACCGTCAAAAAATATCCAAATTTGAAAAAAATATATTTATTTCATATATAATTAGTGTTGATAGTTCTGAAGGATCAATATCCAGTGAGGTCATCATTTTCTGAATGAGCAAGCCATACTGTCCTTTATGAAGGATAGTAGGTCATCTACATCGATATTTTCGAAGCAATATTATCGTCATCTGGTGAAAACGAAAAAAAAAATAGTCGTCTTTATACTTGGCTCTGTAGGCAAGCGTTAATCGTGTTTATACCTGAGACGACGAGGAAACATTAGGCGAATCTATACAAGACGGTTAGAACTCTTTTAAATACTTTCTGTAAAAAAATACCAACAGGTTCTGTCTGTCTATCCAAGTAGATGACATTTACAACGGTCAAACTCAGAATTTTAAGCTTTAATCTGCATTTGATTCATATATATATATATATGGACTCTCCCATTGGGTTCGATGTATGAGGTTCTGACTA